GTTCTTGCATCGGCAAACCATGGGCACAAAACAAATCAACTCTGTGGAAATCAGTCCAGGTTCGACCAACCCTGAACTCCTCCGTCCCAGGTGTGTACAAAAATTGGAAGCTGCCACAAAGCGAGAAAACCAGAAGGCTGGATATAGCATAAAAAAGTTGAAGTATGAAAATTAAAACGCCGAGGTCTAAAAGACTCAAAAACCCTCAAACTCCCTAACCAACCTTTCCGAAAGTACTCAGAGTTGCCTTACTCACTGCCAAGCTCTACCAGGCCTCACGCCCCCTACTTTCTGCTAAGTTACAAGGCAACACACCTCGCCCCAGCTCCGACCGGCATCGTCCCTACAACAGACCTTGGTTGTCCCGTAAGATGCCCACCCCAAAGCATCCCCAGATCACTCCGCTAGGCCTCACGGTCCTGCATCAGCAGATTACAGGGCAGCACCCCAACACCGGCCAGCGTCATTCGAGCGTCGAACAATCATAAATCAACGAGAATAGCAAGATCAACACAACCCAGAAAGGTTATTGGAAGTCCCAGAGTCCTAAGCATTCTTAGATCCCTCCGACAGAAAACTAGTAAGGGCTGTTAAACCACCAACTACCTGCCCTCCCCGCAACAATTGAAGAAAAGCCACAGGTCTCGTGTTCAGTCCTCGATCCAACACACAACTGGTTTCACGCCCTCCCATGCTAGAGTTACAAGACTCCACCAAGTCCCAGCACCGACCAACCTAGTGTAGCCGGTAAGGAGTGCCTTCCTCCCTTGGCAACTCCCCATAGCCGCACGTCCCAAACGGTGACAGGGATTTAACCCCAGCTACGGCCACGTCGAAAGTGCTGGTTCTGTCTTGTTCCCCCACCTTCCTTCTTCTCCTTCTTCTTTTTCTTCTCCCTTCTTCTTCTTTTCCTCTTCTCCATCCTCTTTGAACTGCCATTTCGTCAAAATGGACATTTTTTTATTTTTTTTAACGAAATTGAAACTGATCTTTTTCAACATTGTTGGCTGAAAACTCGTCTAAATTTTGCTGCTCCTGCGCCGGACCCCCTGGATGTATCTGGATTTAGCTTGAGACCACACACATCCAGGAGGTCCCCCCTGGATGTATCTGGTCTGAAGACTAGTACTGATACTCCCTGCGAGCCCGACGTTTAAAAGCGCCGGACCCTCAGGAGCAACAAAATTTAGACCAGTTTTCGGCCAAAAAAGTTGGAAAAACTCAGTTTCAATTTCGTTCAAAAATTTAAAAACGTCCATTTTTACGAAATGGTAGTTTTTGATGGTCTCACCCGTAAAGTGCCATATCTGCGTGTGATCTCATACATTGACTGCTTATTGTTGACATTGCTTGCAATGGAGTGGCTTAACCGTCTTCTGTGGACTCTTGATGGTCTGATATTTTGGCTTCGTGTTCTCCGCATCTTTGTCGAGGTCTCCGATGGTACGCCGACGGTTAGGTATGCCATCTCCAACTGCAAACACGATGGCTGCAATAGGCGAGGTAGGTAGCATCGACTATAGATGTATCATACTAACAATTGTCTTCTGTCCCCTCCCCTTTTGTTTTTGTTTTTCTTTTTTTTTTAAGCCCAGGTTGTTGTATAGGCTGGATTGCAGACATATCAGACTCACCTTCGGCACTTGGCCATGTGGTAGAGGCCCCCTGATTCTATAGGACTCCCTCCCAACCTACGTCTTTCGTAATTTCTCACGGCGCACTCCTATTCCCACTATCCTACCTCAGTGTCTTCCACTGAGGATCGTCCCCCTCCAGTCTTGGGGGTGACCTGACCTAACCGTGGTTGTAGGTACCAGGGCTAAGCTGAGTCCCACACACCCCACTCAGCCCTGATTGAAGCATATTTGTGCGAGCCTTATCGCCCAGCCTCCCAGGTACTTCAGGTGCTATGTACAGACGTTTCACTACAAGTCCCATATGTGGACCTATTTTGCGTTCCTATCGTTGTGTACACAGCTTTTGTTACTGTTGTTTGTTGACACTAGGTTGTTCGCTGTGCACACTGTTGTCATTTCTACTTGTTGGTTTGTTGATAGCGAACTGAACATAGGAGGCAGGCAACCCAACCAATCCTGTGGAGAGCCCCACCGACACAAGAGCCCTACCTGCACCGGCCATAGACTGTACTAAGTCTCACTCTCATCAACTGTTCCTCGCTCCATGGGCGGTCTGTAGGGTCCTAGTTCAGACAGACATCGACCATGCATTGTACTACGTCTCACTCCCATCATCCGTTCCTGTTCCACAGGCGAGCTGTTCTAAGGGGAGCCCTCACCCTAACCCTTCCCCTGCCTAGTGGCTGACCCCCGCAGATCTCCAGCTAGCAACGGGTCCCCTTACCAAAATCTTGCCCCAAGAAACCTACCAACACCGACCACAGTCTGTACTAAGTCTCACTCTCATCAACCATTCCTGAGTCTGTGGGCGGTGTGTACGTCTCTTGGTCCTGCCTCCCACTAGGTAAGCGAGTTTGAACACACGACCTCATCCATGCAATCTTCTATCAAACCTACTGAGCTACTGTGGAAACTGAACGATTTGTATGCAATATCGGTTTTGAAAAGCAAATAAACAATCAYCGTCAAGTATTCTGTCCCCTCCCTTTCCCATCTTTGCCGCCCCCTGATTCATTGAGCTGGGCAGCTCCCGTTGCTATTGTATAGCTCACACCTCCACACATTTTGGGAGGTAACTTGTGAGTACCTGCAGTTCCTTTGAGGTGTTAAGTGTCACGGCTGCGACTTGGTCCTTTGTGGACACATAAGGCACAGGTGCCCGCACCGACACCCAAAGGCTCAAATACATGGTACAAAATTTTGCAGTCTTTCTTTTTTTTGAAAAATCGTGACCTTCATGAACAGGGGTGGCACAGCAAAACATGAATCTTCAGTTCAAAACTAACAAGTGCCAGCAGGCCTCAAACTCGCAGTTTGAGCCGCACTCCTGCACATACTTGCTACTTTAGGTCTCCGTGTGAGTGTGCCCTCAGCTGCCTTTTCCATTGACCTCATAGGGCCTCGCCAAAATCCCTATGAATAGAGAAACTACGGCAGGGGCACCCATTAATAAACTATGAAAAAAAAAAGAGAGAGAAGAAAAAAGGAGAAATCGGGAGGGGAGGCGCCGCAAGATGCATGTGCAATACCTTTCTCGGCTTTTTTTTTTTTTTTTTTTTGGAAGAAGATCAATCTTTATATCAAAGCCGGAAAGTGGGCCCAGCATCCCTTACAAAACTCGCTGCAGATCTGAGGTGAGAGAGGCTCTCCAGCCAGGCAACGCTCGTGCCACGACTGTTTCAAGGGCACAATTCCTCCTTCTCACCATCTCTTCCATCAACTCTACAATTTATTCTAGCATTGCTAGTGCTATCCTACAATAGTCTATACTATCTTTTTTCTTCTTTTTTTTTTTTTGGGTAACTTCCTATGCTGGAAAACCTACTTTATGAACACTTTGTACTAGTCTGCAAACCACTATGTAGAATCACAGAAGAACCTCGGAAAAACGCAGACAAGGCCTATGACTGGGGAGCCAATCCTCTGCTACCAACCCCGCCAAAGCAGCCCAGTGTGCAGTTAAGTACCGCATTGCCTCCCTTGTAAACCCCTAGCACTGTACCCAGTATTCCCAGTCTGCCTGTATGGCTTGTTTAATGCCATATTCAACCTCTGCTCGGACCATCGGTGGCGTCAGCCGTTCTTCATGTCGAAGATCAAGTGTAGTATCTGTTCTGATCAGTGGTCCATAGGGCCACGTGAAAAAAAGAAAAAGTGGAAAGATGACTGGATTCTGACGGGCCGCAGGGCAACAAACTTGAACACCCAAAATAAATGGGGCTATATTGCTCAGGTGGCAACTTGAAGGGCGTTTCTAAGCGGGGTGTTGCAGCTAGGTAGGAATGCTAAGGTGTTTAAGGGGGAGGAGACTTCACAACTGCAGATGCAAATGGGAGTGCTTTTTCAACTCAGATTGGCGGTTTTGGTGGATTGGGCTCGAAGAGTCAAAAATAAAAAACCAGGCAAGAGGAAATATCAATGGTTTCTGAGAACCTGGGGCCASAGAAACCAGCTGGCATCGATCAAAATGCAGGGGCAACTGATATTGGGCCGTTGTCCCTGCATTGTCCGGCCCAATATCAGGTTTGTATTTCAACAGTTCATGGCACTCGGGTTACTTTTCACCGGCAAGCATACGTGTTTTACAATTTGGTCAAGGAAGGAGAAGGCCTTACCCCCCTATCGATGGGGGACTGCTGGGCTCGTCGGCCACCTCTCGCCTCAGCCATGAGAAATCAAGGGTATCCTTTCTACAAAAAAAAAAAAAAAAAAAAAAAAAAAAAAAAAAAAAAAAAAAAAAAAAAAAAGGATGCATATTTCCACCATCTGTGCGAAGCTGCACTCCACATGTTTGTCTTTCCGTGCGTAGTATGGAGAGTCCAGTCCGTGACCGCACAATTACGGCCTCTCCACACCCCTTCCAGGAATGTGCAAAATGGAGCATCTACTGTCAGCAAAAATAATGGAATGATACACCCACCATAGACCATAGGTTTTGTCTTTTTCTGCAAAGATACTCCCACACCGACTGTTGAGATGCACACAGCAATTACGGCAAACTGTGGATGTATCGGACCTCAGTTATGCCCAGAGCTGAATGGTATAAAACTACAGTCTACCCCCGAAAACAACGCATCCTCATCACGACCAAACATTCATCATCGGGGTGCGTTGTGTTCGAGGACGAAGGTACGATCTTTTTTTATTTTTCCTTTTTTATTCAAAATTCTGGGCACGATGTATCTAAACAACAAAGCAGAAAAAATAGGAAAAAAGAAGAGAAGAACGACGATCCGCAGTCTCCCTGCCAGCGGTTTTCCGACGTTCGAAACGCATATACTGTCCATCAGCGGCCACGCTCTCCAACCATTCACTTGTCAGCGGCAGCATTCAAGCCGTCTTCGTGGTGCGTGTTCGGAAGCGCTCCAGTGGTCGGTGTGCAGCAGGCGGTCGACCTCTCTCGCGAGTTGATCGATTGTGTGAAGGTCGAGCAAGCGCGCGAGCGAACATGGTGGTCAAGGTCGGCATCAATGGTTTCGGCCGCATCGGAAGGCTGGTCCTGAGGGCTTCCCTCAACCACCCCAACGTGCAGGTCGTTGCTGTGAACGACCCCTTCCTGGATCCCGAGTACATCGTCTACCTCTTCAAGTACGACACCGTGCACGGCAAGTACAAGGGCGAAGTCGGTCTGTCCGCTGACAAGAAGCTGGTCGTCGATGGCAAGGAGATCGCCATCTTCGCTCTCAGAGACCCTGCGGCGATCCCATGGGGACAGGCAGGTGCCGAGTATGTGGTGGAGTCCACCGGCGTGTTCACGGACAAGGACAAAGCGGCTGCTCATCTGAAGGGCGGCGCCAAGAAGGTGGTCATCTCTGCTCCCTCTGGCAACGCCCCGATGTTCGTTATGGGCGTGAACGAGGAAAAGTACACGCCCGATCTGGACGTCATTTCCAACGCGAGCTGCACTACCAACTGCCTGGCGCCTCTGGCCAAGGTCATGAACGACAACTTCGGCATCGTCGAGGGMCTGATGACCACCGTACACGCCGTGACGGCCACGCAGAAGACGGTCGACGGGCCATCTGGCAAGGACTGGCGGGGCGGGCGCGGAGCCGGGTTCAACATCATTCCCAGCGGAACGGGCGCCGCGAAAGCCGTGGGCAAGGTTCTTCCCGAGCTGAATGGCAAGCTGACGGGCATGGCTTTCCGTATCCCCACGGCTGACGTGTCGGTGGTCGATCTGACGGTGAGGCTGGCGAAGAGCGCGRCGTACGAGGAGATCAAGGCTGTGATTAAGAAGGCCTCGGAGGGCGATCTGAAGGGTATCTTGGGGTACACGGAGGACGATGTGGTGTCGTCGGATTTCATCGGCGATGTTAGGTCGAGCATCTTCGACGCCAAGGCGGGCATTGCCCTGAGCGGCAACTTCGTGAAACTGGTGTCCTGGTACGACAACGAGTGGGGATACTCCAACCGCGTGGTGGAGTTGATTGAGCACATCTCCAAAGTTTAATTAAGAGAGTGTGCGTAGGTAGCAAGTATTTAGGAGTGTACATGGGATACTGGCTTCGAGGGTATTGGCTTCACCATCGGCAGTCGCCGACCGCGGGGAGTGGCGTATGCGATTTGGTTCGGCCGTTTCACTGTTGTGCGTTTTTCGTTGCATTGTAGTAGTCTGGGGATTAGGAAGGGTTTCAGGTTGAGCACCAATCAATTACATTAGGTCGTTTCTTCTTGATCGTTGATGATCATGTTAGGATGGTGGTTGACTAGATGGAGTGGTAGTTAGGTGTAGTCAGTTCTCTTCTCCCTGCTTGCGCCAGTACTTCGGCGAAAACCGAGTCTTTTGTCGCACCTCAGCTTCTGTTTTTTCCTGGGAGAATGGCGGATGAAAGTCGGGAAGAGATGGTTAGCATTGGCATTTTAATCGCTTCTTGATGTTTGTTTACAGCGGTGTCTGTCTTTTAACTCGTCTTGTTCGGAGCGGCTGAAGCTCAATTTCACACCGATCTCATTTCTGAGAGATTGTCCGGTTTGGTAATAACTGTGTGACGGCCGCTCTTGGAGTCAGTGCAGGTATTTGGTGATGACTTTTTTCTTCCCCCTCGCGAAGATATGTATATGACGGCAAAACGGAACGGCGTCTTGGGTTCGTTTTCTGATGCAAAATTCTTTGTGTTGTGTATTCGTTATCGTGATGGAAAAGAATAACGGGTGGATTATGAGCTCGAATCCTGGGGGGATCGAATAGATACAGAATAACGTTTTTTTTTTGTTTTGCTTTTCTTTTATTTTTTGAAGAAAAATGTCTTTGTAGGAGGCTGGCGATTACTGAGGGTTATGAGAGMATCCTCCAGTCATGAAAAATATCCTCTCCAGACAGCTTCAGTCTATTGGTGGGACGGAACACCTGCTGTCCAGCGGGCCACATGAGCCCGCACTCATCAAAGTCTGACCATGGATGCAGCCAGATACATACTGGAAAGAGCTGGTGCGAGTACGGCCTGAATCCATGAGAAGAGTACTCGTCAGAGCAGCATTGACTGCCTCCTGTACTGAAGAGGGCTTAACTGCCTGTTTACTACCCCCGTCCCCTCTTCCCCCCCCCCACAAAAAAAAAAAAAAAAACAGGACCATTGAGTGCTATCTGAATGCTAACTGCACGTAAACGAACCATTCAATAATAAGAATGAAAGAGGTAGGCGCTCGTATGGTCGGATTTAGAGAATGGCAACGAATATGCAGTCTAGTGGCTGCCCCTTCAAATAGAAAGAACAAGTGCAACGGGGCAACAGGTGTTTTGAGGGGTTTGTGGTTTTCCTTGGTTTGCTTTTTGGTTCGTACCTCTTATTTTTGCGTTCTGGTCGTTGAAAAGTGGCTATGGAAAAAACAAAACAAAAAAAAGACGGCGCACGGCTCACAGCTGCTTGTGTTCAGAGGGATGGATGGGGCAGGGCTCTCTGGCGATAGTAGTGTGTACAAAATAACTGTGTGTGATTCCTCTGCACACGTGTCTGGACTTGGCATGGCACCTGAATCAGACAAGATACCATTGCCCTGGCAAAACGTTTTTTCCAAATTTAAAACGGAAAACCGGCAAGTAGGTTGATGTCACTTCTGAGTATGGTGTAATGAACCAGTCTAGCAGATACTCATCAGACGTCAAGCACAAGTAGCCTCAGACCTGCACAGGGTCTCCAGTTAACGTGAAGTGATATCTGAAACAGTATCTCGTTACCATTAGACGAAGAGAGTGGAGGGGGAATAGACAGAGGAGAAGGTGGGAGAGATGAATAATGATTACACAAGAGTAATCCAATCAATCCCCACTTCTTCTCCGGGCTTCTTCCCTCTCAACCTCATCAACCAGTATAGAGAACAAGTATGAGAATCCTGATCACACAACAGTGCCACGTGGCACTCCTATCTCTTGAAGACCATGAAGACAACAGCAGAATACAGTGATGACGCCAACCTCAGGTGAGTACCCGATCCCAATCATCCACAGATCCCGATCTCCCTCCTTGTCGCAACCAGTCACCTCATGTAGACAGCGTGGCCAATGCCATGTCAGATGTAGAGACAGGTGGCATGCACCTCTTCAGCAATGCAGACAAGTGGCATGCGCCACATCAGCAATGTAGACCAGTGGCATGCGCCACATCAGCAATGTAGACAAGTGGCATGGGCCACATCAGCAATGCCTGGTGCACGGAACAGAAAGCACCAGCATGCTGCCACAACCCCGCGTCTTCGTCCACAGTTCCTGCGCACAGCCAGCATCAATGCCAGCGTCCAGTCACAGTCGAGCCAGCCTCCAAGCAGCATAGCAAGACTGAATATCGACCTCCTAGAGACCAGTCCTTTTGTAGCATTTGACGAGGCTGTCTGGTCTCAGGTCCCTCTCCCACAGTCGTACATATTGACTCTCAGCCGAGGGCCTGGATTGTGTACAGTTGCAGACTTCCCCTTGGACCTGATGTTGTTTGGGTACCTGATAAAAACTAGTGTGTGCGTCTGACCGGCAGCCTGGGCTGGGTAGACTTTGAATTTGATTATTGGGGTCTCCGGCAGTTGACTTTAGTCAACTGTATCTTTTCCAGGCCCTGAATCTTTACGTGGGGTTTATTTTCCCCTTCGGCCTGGGTCTGAGTGTGGCCCGGAGGCCCTCAGACTTTCCACGAGGCATACAGCATGGGTTATTGCATTCCTGCCGGCCCAGATTTTTAGTTCCATTGTAGAAATACATGAATTCTCCCTTATCCCACGTTCGTATGCAGCAACAATGTCGGGAGTTTTTTCTTACTAAACCATCTGGCTTCGGGTGGAGGTTGGGACTTGAACTGTACAATATACTGCTTCTCGGGTCTTCCTTTCTGCTTTTCGGATTTTTCAACTTTTTCTCCTCGCCTTTTCTGCTTTTTATTTTTTATAATTTTAAAAAGTTCAGTGTTTCTTCAAAAAAAAAATATGGGGTCGTAGGGTTTGAAAAACTCTATAACCTTTTCTTTTTTTTTGCCTATTATTGTTTACTTAGGCTATTAGAGTGGGCCGAGGTCACTTGCCCGGCCGGGCCAAAAAAAATCAAAAAAAATAAAATAAAAAAAATCTAACATTGTATTGTATATTTTAAATGTGGTAAAGAATTTCGATGTGACCCTGAGACAAAAGTTAATCAGTTTATTTTTCTACATAACATAGTTTTTTTTTCGGATGTTTTGGATTTTTTTGTTTTTTTGCTGGGACCCTCCCTTGTCCTTGCACGGGATGGTCACCCGGGACCCGGGCGGCTCGACTGGTAGCCTAGTTGTTTACGGGAAAAATCCGTGAAAAACGTGGCCGCTATGGGGCTGACTCCATCCGCGGATGTGGTCATGAACATGACCGCCCTTCGAGCCTGACCCGCGGCCACAGTCACGGGGGATACATAACATATGTCTTCTTAAAACCAAAGTGACCTTACGCATCATGGCATTCCTCAATGATTAAGTTTTTGATTTGTTCTTGGTGAGGAACACACAATCTTTCTTCCGTTTTATCCAGAAAGAAGAGTAAGTCATCAGTCATTGGATATTATAGGAATAACTCAGGATTCTTTCGTAGAGTCTCAATGATAGGACTCCAAATAGGATCACTCCCATAACCCTTTCGGATCTTTTGTTTCAGTTTGCTCCTGATATCGAGGTAGGAGACAATAGTTCCAAGGAAGTCTGCACGTTTGGACAAAGCATCCGCAACCACGTTAAACTTACCTTTTATTGTTTTCAACGCAAAGTCAAAGGTACCAATGAAAGCGAACCATCTTACACTAAAGTGTCTCCCTAACAAGTAGTGTTTCCAGGTGTCCAATGCAACAGCTAAGGCATACAATTCCCTAAGACTTTCGTTGGTGGAGTTAGTCACTTTCTCTGACTCTAGTCTCCTGGACATAAATTGAATAGGTATATATCCCTTATCGTCATCTTGTTGAAGCACACCCTAAATTCCGTACTGACTTGCGTCAGTTGTGACGATGAAAGGGAGAGAGGAGTTAACAATTATTAAGACAGGGTAGTGAGTCAGTAGATGTTTTAACTTTCAAAATAACGACTCACAATCCTTGTCCCACAACCAAGATTTTTCTTTCTTCAGTAGTCTTTTCATAGGTGCAACTATCAAAGAGAAGTTTCTGACGAACTTCCGGTAGTATCTCGTAAGTCCTAGAACATATCTTAATTCAGTTCTAGTTTTAGGTAGGGCCAATCTCGAATTGTTGTATTTTTTTTTCCCTCTGGCCTTAGTCCTTCCTTATTCACTATGTGCCATAAGTAAAATACCTCAGGCTTAGCGAATTCATACCTTTTAGGGTTCGATTTGAAGTTGCCCTTGCGTAATTTATGCAAAACGATTCATAGATATTTCTCGTGATCTTTTAGTGTCTTATTGTACAATATAATATCCTCGAGATAGACTACTACGAAATAATCAAGCCATATTGTCGAAACAACTCGTTCATTAACCTTTGGAAGGTCGCACGTGCATTAGTCGGACGGAAAGGCATAACCAGAAACTCGTAGTGACCATATTTGGTTCGAAAAGTCATCTTGATTTGATCCTCAAGAGCCACCTCGAACAGGTGGTACCCTAACTTGAGATCAATCCTACTTAAGTACATGCATCCCTGCAACTGGTGCAACAGGTCGTCAATTTGCAAAAAAGGTTCCACGTTTTTCTCAGTGACGGAGTTCAGCCCTCGAAAATCAATACATAATTGAAGTTCACCTTCCTTTTGGGGCACAAATAAGACAGGGGCACCATAAGGAGATGACCTATGGCGAAACCATCCCTTGACAGTAAGTTTTTGCAACTGTTTTCGAAGTTCCTCAAGTTCCCTGAGAGACATTCGGTAGATGGGACCCTTGGGAATCTTGCTTTCGGGAATAATCTCAATTGTGTATTTGATAGCACGCTCAGTTATTCCCGTCGGCTCAGTCTGCAAGTTCTTGTACTCGTCAATAAGTTTCTCGATAGGAGGTGGACAGGATGAAGGCCACTCACGGACTCGTTTATTAAGCATCATCATCACCTCATGATGCAACTTCTTCTTAACTACCATCGAACGAAAAGTTGGATAACTCATACAGCAGAAAGACAGAGTAGAGTCAGAGTCAGACCTTTGATACAACTTTATCGGTGGACAGGATGAAGACCACTCACCGACTCGTTTGATAAGCATCATCATCACCTCA